GTGTTGGAGCTGGAAAACCTCTAAAAAATGCAGGATAGCGGCCCTCGAGGACTGGAGTTTGACACCCCTGCTGTAAGACATTCACAGAAGTCTGCAACAGAGACAACATCTGGATTATGTAGCGTTTGGTTCATATAGTCACTAATATTTAAAGGGCAATAACAGTGTTGTTAGTAGCTATAACTGCAATTTAACCTCTGCTACATCTACTGCAATTCATCACAAAAATGATAACGGGAATAATGAAATCATATTGGCACAAGCTATTAAAAAAATGATCCATGGCTGTTTATGCCATGCTTGAATACATGATGGAAACAGATACCATGGAATAATACACAAACTCTGCAGTTTAGAGACACTTAGGACTGGAGTTTGTTTTATTATTGGACCTATAAGTACTCAGCTAACAACCTTATAATTAATAGTTACTGATAATTAGAAGTACATGGCATCAAGATACTGAGATTTCAGTGACATTATTTCACACGTTCATGAGACACTGAACTCTTTGTTTGGTTGCAACAGAACTTATTGGGATAGTGGTAAAAAAAAAAGAAACAAATGGCACCAGACAGCCTACCTTTAAAAAGCAGTGCAGGTAGGGTGGCCGTGTGGAAAAAGCACATGAAATGGGGATGAGTAAATGATGAGTATACGTTGTTTTCAGTAGCACCAGGAGAAACAGTATGTGTGCGTCAGAGGGTCTGCACTATGACAGGATACAGCAGGGACATGTGCTCAGCGCCTCTGATTGGCAGCTTGTGTGTGGTGTAGTAGTGGATGACCTCCGGGATGGTGGAGAAAGGAGGACTGTTCTCCCCGAGAACGTAGTGCCCCTCTGCAGACTGGGTGAACTTCATGTGCATGAAGCCTTTACAACTCCTAACAGGAAGAAAAAAAAAGACAAATTTGTTAAAAATTTACAGAACCATACTAAAATTAAATACAACTGATCTGAAAACTCAAATAATCATCAGAAGACAAAACTTTTAGTCCTTTATTAGTCTGGTCCTCGCCTTCCTACGCCGTTCCTCTCATTTCTAGTTTCCCTTCACTGCTCCGTCTGGGATTTCTCCCATAGACAAGGATTTCTTCAGGAGAATTTCTTTCAGGCCAATCAGAGAACAGAAGGAGGACGTCGATTTTCTGCACAGTGTCTGCTAGTTAGTTTAGCATACGGCAGTGGAGGAAGTGAATGAAGCCAGTCCGTGTTGATAAGGCTTCCAAATTAAATTTGTCTGACAAACCAGCAGCTCTCATTTACAGTCGTTTTGTTCGGCTCGGTACTTCTCTCCTCTCAGTAGGGTTGTTTACAGCACACGATTTCTGGTTAGCTTCTTAGCTTAGCCTTCTTCACAGTGGAGCTGGCATACACATACCAACCGATCCAATCATTTTAAACCTTAGCAGAGGCCACGCCTCCACCAAGAATCACTTCTCTATAGCCGAGAGTCCAGACCCTCGTACGAAGCAAAGTGAAGAACACGGGTCTGGTTTTAACCAGACTAGTACTTTATGCATACATTAAAGCACTGGAAAAACAGCATGTGCTGCAAAAACATTAGTGAAAATGTTGAGAGTTGAATGACGGCTGAAAAAACTGAAACTAGGCTGTTAAAAATAAAAGAACCAAAATGCTAGCTAAAACTATAAAAAGCAAACCACTACGYAGAACCTTAAAAGAGGCAAACTGATAAAAGCTAAAAGAATCAAACTGATATTAAACACAAACACACACAAAAAAACTGCTTGCTAAATGATGGAAACTGCTAGCTAAAAGCGACAAACTGATAAATACTAAAAGAGAATAGGACTGTGTCAGGGGCTGCAGCCCACAGAGGCCGAAGCCTAYGCAGTCTGGTTAGGCTGCTTGAAACAGCTGTGAAATTAAAACGGTCTCGTCTGGTCTGACATCTGTTTGCATGACCACACGCTACTCTGTTACTCCGAATATGATTTGTTTTAAGTCATGTAGGGGTCACCTCGAGTGAAGAAACAAGATTTACTGCCTCGAAGCAGGCCTCGGACAGGCCTGACGAGAGGACAGGAACTCTGTCACAAACTGAACTCTATTTAGGCCA